AAGCAAAGGCGACAAATTGATCCCAATATAAATTCCAACTAGAGCACTTACTTCATGTGTGAACTTGTATTAATTAATTAACCACTTGAATCCTCTTATTTCCTCACCTATCAACGGAGTTATTAGTACATACCTATAGAGCTGTTAGGATTAAACTAAGTAATATGTAAACAGCATTTAGCATCATGCCCAAAAAAGTAATTAGTCAATATTGATACCTGTTATTAATGCTAAATCTACATTGCATACTAAACCTCCCATCTTTGTTAGGATGTGTATGTGGGAAAATTTATATTAGTAAACTTGTCAAACACAAAACACAGTGAAAGCAGTAGGATCCAGCTTATTTCAAACCTAGAGCAGTGAAAAGACCCTACTGATTCTGACTGCCACTTGCCATCATTAAAATGGATGAATCTCTTATCTCTTAAAGTTATAAGCTCCTTCTTAACTGAAATATGTAAGAGCATGATCGTGGCCTGGAGACAGAGATGGGATTTAATAAAGCAGCATTTGACTTGTGTTAAACTACTAAGAACATTGGGCGGGAAACTTGGTACACAAGTAAAGTGAATTCTTAATGATTAAGAGGCATGAAGTTATGGCCTTCTGGGCTCTACTATGGAAAGTTAAAATAACATATCACAGCTTTCACTTTATTCATATTTTTATTACAAGAAGTACATTCTATAAAAATAAGAAGTTTTCATATTTCCTTGCAATGTAAATTATATGATCTATTTCATACTGAATTATTATTACTAGAACACTAAAAACGTAATATGGTAGGGCAAAAGTATAATTTTCTCTATTTTTCCTTGGAGTCTTTTAATGAAATAATTTAATTTCAAGTGGCTCTCATGGTATTTATTATATATTTATAGAGGCTCTAATAACAACCTAGTATTGTTGGTACAAAAGTCCTGGCTTTCTAAATTAATTCTAGATAACAACCTAATTTTTTAGCAAAGTCTTCATTTGTGCTAGAGAACTGGCTAGAAGATGCTAAGATCATTTAATTAACTAACTATTGCATGCAAAATCCATTTTTACTAACATAGCATACATATCCAACTTCTATACACACATATGTATCCCCAATCAATTCAGAGCCTTCAAAATAAAAATCATAATCAAAGGAAATATTTACTCGTGCAACACATTTTAGTGTCAGTGTGTTTCCTTCATCAACATGAAGAATAAATTCTCCCCTTTCTGGATAACTGAAACCTGGCTGCCATGTCACTTCACATTCCAATGAGGAGTATGGTTCAACAGTGCCTATAGAGGGTTTAGAGAGAATAAGACAGTTACCACATTTTAATTATATTTATTTTTTTAATATCCAAAATAAGAGCCAGCAGACAAATGTAATGACATAATATAACACATTATTTAAATTAAACTCAAAATATAGGAAAATGGTAAATGAGAGATTATCAAATGAGTACAGACCTATGGTTTGATTAAAATCTAAAATGCATACCTTGTTTTCCGATTTTAACAGGCAGTAGAAAATATTTGACAAAAAGTATGCCAATATTTACCAAAAAACAGAAATTTGTCAGTGAAGTAAACTCTCCAGGATTAGAGATGGCTTTACATATAGACGGTCAAAAACCATTTGTGATCCTTGACCAAGTGTTCCCTCCAGGTTTTGCAGCATTCTGAAACACTTATTAACATCAGACTCTCATTCAGTTTTCAGAGGGAGAAATTACCAGAGCCGTTTAAAAAAAATGTTCACTTCCCTAGAAATGTAACTTCTGATGTAGCTAGAAGTAATCAACATATTTCTATAATGCAGATGTACTGAGAACCCATGAGGTATCAGGCACAGTTAGTGTGAGCTACTTTATCTGTTTAAATTCATCATCTCTTTTGGAGTAAGAAAATAATACTTGATGGAAAGAATGACTCATAAGTTCTTCCTTCATGAAGAGAGGATCACCTGAGATTCAAAGGCACAGGACAATGAACGAAGAGAGGAGTGACCATCACAAACTTTGCCTTGGGTCAGGCTGACTCAGGCGATGGCAGTTTCCTCAGTCTTAAAAAAGATATAGTGCCTTCCTTCTAGTGACTATGAAGGGAGATAATGACACATGTAAAGGGATTAACATAGTGTGTGATGCCCAGAAAGCACCCAGTGTCAGATGTTATTAATACTCTTGTAGGCACAGTAATTTATAAAAAGAGAAACTGGTCATGCAAGAACAGTCTAGTGGGAGTCCATCAGGATTATATTTGTCTATAAGGAACAAAAAATCCCGCCTCAGTAGGTTAGGAAGATATGGGTTTATTTATCATATGTAAGCAGAAGTCCACAGAGAGGTATTCCAGGGCTGCCTTAACAGGTTGACAAGTCCTTCAAGAAACAATTCTCCTTCTAGCTTCCCACACTATCATTTCTTACTGTGTGGCCTTCCTCAGTGTAAAAGGTAATATAGTATATTGGTTAAAGGAGCACAATTTCTAGGGTCAGACTCCCTGGTTCAAATTTCAATTCTGCCACTTACTAACTAGTTTCTTCATATATGAAATGGGGATAATGACTGTATCTAACTCAGAGAATCGTTGTAGGGAATTAAATAAGCTAAGATAAAGAGAAGTACTTCAAACAGTGCCTGGCACATAGAAGGAGGATGGAAATAAAAGAAAATTCTGTCCATATCTCCTTGGCAAGAAGCTTGGGAAAAGAGATTCCTAGAAAAGAACATTGCTCCCGCAAACAAAATGAGGGTCTTGTTAGGAAGGGGAATGGATATCAGATATGGGCTTAGCAACAACTACCACAACAGGAGATGCATATAAACGAATAAATGTTAATGACATAACAAATACACAGTGGAAGCTGAAAAGAAGAGGAGGGGAATCTAAACTAGTCTAAGAAAGTAGAAAAACTTCATTTAAGGAGATGGCATTTGAGTAGTGACTGAAGGATGAACAGGAACTCTGGAAGAGGACAAAGCCAGGGGAAGTATAAAAGCGAAGTGACAGTGCTGAAAGAGAGTGGTGTGTGGAGAAGACTGTGATGGGAAGTGTCAGTGTGTGGATTGAGCAAAGCTAGGATTGGCAGGGCAGGTGTTACAAATGGCCAAGGAGAGAGAGAATTGAGAAAGATAGTGAACTGACTGGAGACAAGTTTAAGATTGAGTGGACTTCAAGAGTTCAATGAAGTTAAAAACAAAGATGAAAACAAACAGCAGAAATATGAATGATATCTAATGGAAAAGTCGAATTACAAATCAATTCTGTCTATGAAACAGCAATCCACTCTTACATTCTCCCCTAAAAATATCCGCTATTGAAACACAAATTCAAAATATATCACACCTCAGGAAGAAATGACAATCACAACATGAAATTTAATTTAGAACTATTCATTTTAGTTTATAAAAATATAGAGGGATATGATTAAATGTATTATCTGAAATGCAAAGCCAATATAGCAAGAGGGATATAAGAAAAATAACTTGATAAAAATTCATTTTCTATTCATACAAAGCAGCAAAAACAAAATTGAGTAATTATTATCTGTATTCTGAGCATCAAAAAGAAAAGGACAATAAAAATCTATGTATAGAAATCGTGCATACTTCAATGCTATTTGAAATAGATGAGTACTGCATCATTTATGTTCTAAAAAGATCAAAAGTACTTAAAGACTAATGTTATTACTCATATAAACATTGTATTTAGAATTAAATGTCTTTGTGCTTTTGTGCTTCGATTTAAAAAATTTTAAGTGTTATGAGCAACCCAAAGAAAGTCAAATACTAAAATCTCCCCTGTAAAAATGAGTTCTAAAGTCCATGAAAAGTATAACTGGTATTACAGTTTATAATACTGTAATTCCACTCTTCTTTTGACAAATTCAGCATCATCACTGCATTTCCATGGCAGCCACAACGAGGAAGCCCAGCCCATTCAGTTCTGGTTAGGATGGAGAACTAACAAGGAAAAGTGCCTATACACTGGTGCCGTTCAGACTCTTTTAGCGTCATGTCATGTGCTTGATCAAAACCTACAGCTGGGACACATAAACTAGTACTGTTTGATACATGTTCAAAAAAAAACTGAAGAAGATTTACCTAGAATCTCTGAAATGTACAGAAATATTTTCTCTTTCTTCTCTGATTATTCATTCAGCTTTTCTCTAGATTAGGGCAGGACTCAGTACTGCCAGTATTCATAACAAAAAAAAAAAAAAAAAAAAAAACTTTGGTAAAATAAACAACCTAAAGGGAGGTCAAATGAATCAGCTAAATGGAAGGATACCTCTAATGCTTAATAAATTATGGATTGTGCTCAATCAATTCAGGCTAATAAAAAGATTAAATATGGCTATATCAATGATCTCCAATCTCAATGAAGGGATAGTCCTATTCTTCTACTTGTTAAATTTGTCAACATCCCTACCTATATCCACACTAAAATTAAGTGAATTTAAATCAACACTTAAGCTTGTTTATAACACACCCTGTTACAAACACTGGCAGAGTTAAATAAAAGTCATGATTTGGCAATGACTGATAATAAGAAAATACACTAAGGCAAGATTTCTACAAACCAGGACTCCTCTGCGATCTGAAGTATAGTCTGTTTAGATCACAACTGTAGACTATTCCTAAATTAGAGATAAAGAACGATGGTGGGGAAAGGGGAAGGAAAGAAGGTAAGGAAGAAAAGAGAGAGGGAAGGAAGCAGGCAGCATAGATGGCAAGACACATGATAGGTTGTTATTCCTCTGAGGACACTTTGAGGCAAAAAAAAAAAAAAAAAGTCCAAACAGAATTAGCAAATTTTCCTAATCAAATAGTTATTTATTTATGTGACACTTATTCTTTGCAAGTCATTACAGATAAGGAAACTAGTGCTTACAGAGTGCTTTTCTCAAGATCTCAAAGCTAGTGAAAAACTATGGCTAGTTTTGAAACAAGGTCTATCTGACTCCAAAATTTGTTTTAAATTCCACTCAGGCAGAATTGGACTTCAGCTAGTTATAAAGCACCATGTGAGTCACTGCAGATACAAGGATCCAGATCTTTCCATCTAACTGCAAAGTCATGACATGTACATAAAATGAAGATACTGATCATTCAGCTTCTAACTTGCCATTTTATTTCTTTAAATGATAGCTTGTGTCCTCAGAGATCCTCACGGCATAGCACAATGACATTTGTCAAATCTGACAGGCTACTAGATAAATGACAGTTTAGCAGTTACCAAGGCTCAGTTTTGTAACAGGTCCATTATGTGGAATTATTGATTCCAGGGAATGGCAGAAGCAATGTTAAGAGGATAGTTAACAAATATAAGGAACCATCAAAAATGGTAACTCTGAGATTATTTTTCTATTAATTAAAAAATCCCTTAGATTTTATTACCTGTATTAAATATTGACTGTAAAGAATTTATGGATCCTTCTAAAATAAGTCACAATCTAACAAAACGTTAGGTCATTCATAATCATATCTTATCATCATTATCAAAATAATACTAAACAAAAAAATACTGAGTTCATCAGTATCTGTGATTTTATTTGTCAACTTAGACAGGCTATGGGTACCAAGTTGTTTGGGCAAACATCAGTCTAGATGGTGCTGTGAAGGTATTTTTTAGATATGATTAACATTTAAATCAGTAGACTTTGAGTAAAGCAAATTACCTTCTACAATGTGGGTGGGCCTCATCCAATAAGTTGAATGTCTTAAAAGACTGAGGTCCCTTTAGATTTAAAACTACAACAAAAATTCTCCCCTGAGTCTCCAGCCTGCCAGCCTGCCAGCTTGCCCTGCAGATTTCAAACTTGTCAGCCCACATAATCGTATGAACCAATTCTTTAAACTCTCTGTGTGTGTGTGTATTTTTTTTCCTATTGTTTCTATTTCTCTGGAGAATCCTAATACAGGATCCATATTTTTAAATCTAATTTATATATGTAAACACAAATGCCCACATGACCATATCTGATTTACTTCTATATGCTTAGCACCATTACACAGTACACACTCAATAAATGATTAATGCCTAAATACATCAATAAATAAATGTCTAAATCAAACAAATAAACTATTACCTCGAATTGGACGAATGGAAAATGCTATCCCTCTGCTTGTGTTTACTGGCTGCCATTCAAAGTGGACAAAATAATTCTGATGATTATTCAACCTAACTGTCTCCCTAAAACATGTTTTCATCAAGAAGCCATGAGGTTTCAGTACTAGTTCATTGGAAGACAGCTCAAGTCTTACTGGCATGACAGCCGCCATCACTAGGATGTGCCCACCAGGTATCTTGTTCACTGTAAAGGTGAAAGACCTGTAACACAGCAAAGGCATCCAAATTTAACTGATAATAACTATTTGCAATTACAGAATTAAGTTACACGTAAAAATGCATATACTATTGACTAATATCCATGATTCTCAGTAAAGAAAATATCAAAAATTATGAAAGATTGTAACTGAAATATGAGTCTATAAATCTACAAATTGAGACACATATAGTTTCTATATTTTGGGATCAAATATAATATATACTATAATTATTGGAGAAAATAAAAACATATTCTACAAAGGACACTTTGATTCTAGCAAATAGAAATTTGAAAATAAATCCTACTTCCAAAATTTTCCAGCGTTGGGAGATTGAAATACAATTGAAATGTAAGTACTGGCTGTAGGTGGAATCACATATGAAAATTGGTTGGTTTTTCGAAGCTCTTTCAAATTAATATTTAACCGGATCCAAATATACTTAGGTAGCATATTAATGACATGTAATGGTTGAGTATTTGTAGAGTTCACACAAATATCACCAAAATTAAGAACAGAGGGCCCTAAAAAAATGAAAAGTTATTAAGTTTAATGTTGGTAATTTGTTCATTTTTTTAAAGTTTTTATACAATAATTTGATCAATTAATTTATAAAAAAATGGTACTTTGAAAAACTTTTATTATAATAAATATCAGAAATTATTAACCAAGTTTTTATCTAAATGTCCATAATTTGATGTGTGGAGATTATTGGCTAAAATTCAATATAATTACATTCTGATTTTGTGGGGAAAATATGTGACAAAATTATTAGCACTTATATCATCTTAGTATATGTATTTTCATACTCCAATATCCTCTCTACTCCCATCAAGACATTTATGTTCACTTATCCGGAATTTACAAAAATTGGTAATTTTCTTGTGACTAATTGCTTAAGTTTTCCCCTTTAAATGCCGAAAGTTTTTATATCATAACAATATAAATAGTTATATCTTATCCTGTCTTAACAGTCTGATTTAATTATAACTGATATACAGTAAACTATACATGTTTATAGGTACAGAATTTCAGAAGTGTTGACATGTCTATCCCTGTAAAAAAAAATCACCACAATGAAAAGAGTGAACATCTATCACTTCAAAAAGTTTTCTTGTGCCCCTGTACAGTCTCCCCCTCCCACCATCCTCCATATTCTCTACCCAGACAACCACCCATCTGCCTTATGTCACTGTAGATCAGTTTGCATTTTCTAAAATTTTTCTTTAATTCTTTGACTCAGCAAATTCCCTGGAGATTCATTCAAGTTGTTTCATGTGTCAATACTGTATTCCTTTATATTACTAAGTAGTAGTCCATTATAGGTGACTGTTTGTCTATTCACCCTTTGAATTGTTTCCAGGTATTGGCCACTACAATTAAAGGTGCTAAAACATTTGTGCACGAATATTTGTTCGAACATATACTTTTTTGGGGAGGATAAATATCTAAGAGTGGAATTGATGGACCATATGATAGATGTATGTTTAAATGTATAAGAAACTGGCAATCTGTTTTAAAGTGGCTACATAATTTCACATTCCCACTAGAAGTATATAAAAGTCCCAGTGCCCTCACATCTCCGACAACAATGGAAATGGTGAGTTGTTTTGGGTTTTGTTTTGTTTTTTTTTTTAACTTTAGCCATTTTAATAGATTGATCTCATTGTGGTTTTATTTTGTGTTTCCCTAAAAACTAACAACGTTGTGCATCTTTCCCCATGCTTATATGTCAGCTATAGATCTTCGTTAATGAACTATCCATCAAATCCTTTGCCTGTTTTTAATTGGGTTGTTTGTTTTCTTAAATTTAGTCTCAAAAGTTTTATATACATTCTGGTTGCAATTCCTTCATCAGATATATAATTTGCAAATATTTTCTCTCAGTCTATGGCTTCGTTTTATCCTTTTATCAATATCTTTTGAAAAGCAGAGTATGTAAAGTTGATCAATTCCAAATCCATTTGTCTTTTTATAGATGGTGTTTTTTATGTCATATCTAAGACATTTTTGTTTTCCTATGATCATGGATGTTTTTTCCTATGTTTCCTTCTACAAGGAAGCGCATGGCTTATGATCTATTTTGATTTAATTTTGGTATGATGTAAGATATAGATACAAATTCCACTTTTTTTTTTTTTTTTTTAGGTATATGGCTCATATGTTCCGGCATTAATTATTGAAAAAAAATATATCTTTTCTGCACTACACTGCTTTTGTACCTTTGTCAAAATTCAGTTGTCCAATATGTGTAGGTCTATTTCTGAACACTTACTTATGTTTCACTGGTCTATGTGTCTATATGCCAGTACCACACGGTTTTGCTTACTGTAGCTTTAAAATAAATCTTGAATCAGGTAGTGTTTTATCCCTACTTTGTCCTCCTATTCCAAAACTGCAGACCAATGTATTTTACGAAAACAAATGCAAAATTCTATATTATGATTTAACAAAACTATGAGGCAAAGAAGGAAGTTGTCAAAAAAAGCTATAGATCTATATCGTATAGAAAAATATAGATTGTGAAAGAGGAAAGGAAAGAAAAATCAAGATAGAAAATATGGCTAGAGAAACCTAATTTCAAATTCACTCACTCCCACTAAATAGCTGAGCAACTTCATCAAGGTGTTTTACTTCTCTGGGCTTCACTTCACTCATCTCTAAAATGGAAATAAAAGTAGTTACCTCATAAATTATTTGTGTCATTTAAAGGATTAAATGAGATCATGTTTGTAAATTGTTCAACACAATACCTGGCTTATAATATGCACAATAAATGGTAGCTTCAAACCAAAATGACTGGACATCTGCTGATGAAGCAAACGACACTTTGCACAATTTCCAATGTAACCCAGATTCCTATAATAGTTTTCACTAATTGATTCAATTGATCTCCAAGATCTCTATTGTGTCTCTTGACAGTCACTTCAATTTTTAAAAATATTATAAATATAGCAGAAAATTTTCTGCAACTACAATCTCCTTTGGTAGTACCAGTCCCTATACTGTGTAGAGACTCAAGAAAAGCACCTATGATGTGTGAAAATGACAATGTGGCCCCAAAATGTGCCACTTTGGCATGTGGATTATTTTAAGCTGAAAAAAATCAAGACCCAGCAAACCCAAGAAAAATGTTTACCTCTTCCTTACCTACCTAAAAGACTTTATGTAGGGAGCCTGGATCCAAGAAATAGCTACTACTAGAGATAACTTTTATTTGAACGACCTATCTGTACTGCAGGGTAAACATCCAATAACAGAATATCTGCTCTTCTTGTCCTAGAAATTGCCCTCCTTCCCTTTGAATCCCCGACCATAGTCCCTATCCTATTCCTTAGTTCAAGATGGTATATAAAACGCAACTGTGAAATTGCTCTTGGGTTTTCTATTTTTTTATGGGATTCTCGTATGTACGAAATTAAATGTTTTTCTCCTGTTAGTCTGTCATGTCAATTTGATTAAACCAGTCAAAGAAACTAGAGGGGTAGAAGGAAAAATTTTCCTCCCCTACACTCTCCTGTCCCTTTCATAAACTGCCTCCTTTGTACATGCTTCCTCCAACTGATCCAAAATTCTCATCATTAGAGTTGCTGACCATATAAACACAGGGCCCTCTCTGCAGGGAGTTGTTTTTTAAAATGCCCAAAATACTAGGTGAATAAGGGAGAGAAGTTAGTGGAGGAGTTGTAGAAGAGCCACTGGACACTGTCTTCTACCTTTGTTCCTTTTGCATTTGTATAGAAATGCTTATCTAACTACCTGGTCACCAATATGGAAAATGCAGAGCATTTAACACCTAATAATAAAAGGTAAATTCCTGGAGATATAAAACCCAGTACATATCACATGCCTGGCACAAAACAGAGGCATACTGAATGATATTTAATCACCTCCCACTGCTTTCCCTCTGATCTTGTATCTCTTTGGATGTTACCTTTCTTCTGGATAATATCAGAGTTGGTATTTGTTGTTTTGTGTGCTGGGTTCTACCTAGGTAGAGAATTGGCATGTCCATATCTATTAATCACCCTCTGCTCGCATCTCCCTCAAGATCACCCTAACCCTCTCTAGAATGAAATGCAACTCTATTTTCAGACCAATAAAGCTACTATTTCTTTAACTGTAATCATCCTTGGTGAAAGTGACCTAGGGAGGGATATAGTACAACACCTCTGCAAGGTTAAAGAGTTGTCACTTGCTTCTTAACTCATGCCTAGAGGTGTTGTCAGAATAATAATGATCTTAATGGCAAACATTCAGAGAAGGTCGACATCACAGCCTAAGATTTCAATGTTGGTTAGGACAAGGAAAAGACAAAGGAGCCAGAAATATTAAGACAGATATCCAGGAACAAGAAAGACAATGTGGGTCTTAATAAGATCTTATTTATACCCAGAATAGCCAAAGCAATCTCGAAAAGGAAGAGCAAAAACTTACCATAAAGTTATAGTATCAAAGACAAAGGGATAGATATACAGATGAATGGAACAGAATTGAGACTCTAGAAATAAACCCTGACATATATGGTCAACTGATTATCAACAAAGGTACTGAGACAATTAAATAAGAAATGATAGTATTTTCAATAAATGGTTCTGGGACACATGAATATCCACATACAATAATATTAATTTAGATTCTCAACTCACACCATAACAAACACTAACTCAAAAAGAATTTTAGCCTTAAATATAAGGTTTAAAAATTATTAAAATTTTAAAAGAAAACAGGAAAACTATTTGTGACCTTGAGTTAGCTAAAGATTTCTTGGGCATAGTATCAAAAATATAATCCATAAAAAAAATTTTTGATAAATTCATTTACATTTAAATTAATAACTTTTGTACTTTAAATATTATTGAGAAAATGAAAAAAAGCCACAGATTTAAAGAAAATATTTGGAAATCATATATCTGATAAAAATGTAAAATTGTAACTCTCTTATATTGTTGCTGGGACTGTAACTTGGTACAGTCGCTTGGGAAAATTTTTGGCAGTTTCTTTAAAAGTTAGACAAAAATTTTCCATAAAATCCATCAATTCTATTCCTAGGAATCTAAACAAAAGAAAACATGTTTACTCAAAGAATTATATGTGAATGTTTATAGCAGAATTATTCACAATAGCCTCAAACTGGAAACAGCTCAATGTCCATCAACTGGTAAATGGATAGACAAAATGTGGTATTCCCATAAAATTAAATACTCTTTAGATATAAAAAGGAACAAGATATTTATACCTACTACCACACGGATGAACCTCAAAAACATTACCTAAGTAAAAGAAACAATATAAGAGATAACACATATTTTATGATTCCTTTCATGCAAAATGTTCAGAATAGGCAAACCTATAAGATAAGAAAGTTGACTAATGGTTATCTGGGGCTACGGGTGGGAATAGGGAGTAACTGCCTATGGTTATGAGGGTGATAGCAGCTTTCTAAAATTGAATTATGTTGATTACATAATCTGGTAAATTTACTAAAATTAATTGATTTGCATAATTTTAAACTGGTGAATTTTATGGAATATAAATTATACTTCAATAAATCTGTTAAAAAGACATTAGTAGGTTTTCACAAATTCTTACCAACAATTACTTGATGAATCTGTTTTGGTGTCAAAATTAAGCTGCAATCATGTTTTTCATGAGGTGTAGATGGGTTCGATTTAAGTCCTTTGAGAACCTGTGAAAAATCACATTATTCCAAAATGAATTGTTTGATATTAGCAAAAGTAATTTAAGAATTCTCATGGCATGGTCAAATGTAAAATACTATACATGCCTTTCTTCCCAGAGCCCTTGCCTCCTTGGATTCCATATTCCTGGTACTTAGCAGTTGGTAAGGATTGATCTTACATCCTACTGAAAATAGGTTTTCTTCTACTTCCGATTCTGAGAGCGAGGGTGACTTTAGACCTGATGCTGGCTGTAATCCTATGTCTTTATCGTCATATGCATATTTGCCTAAACTATGGAAATCATAATAATAACTAATTAATGCCAAATCTTTTGCAAAATACATCTATAAACCCAAAAACATCTGTAAACCCCAAAAAAATCTGTAAGCCCCATTGTGCATGCTGCTGCTGCCCCAGTGAGATCTGCTTAAGCAGACTGATCCCTAATCTGCATAAAATTGCCTTCTGCTGAGGAGACCCCATTCTCAAACACGTCCCCAAAGAAGTTATGTCTACCCCACCACACCCAAGAACAGTCAATGACTAACATGAAGCACAAAAGACAAGTGTCTTTGGCTCAGGCTGAAACAACTACGTGATATAATTTATGCTCAAGAGACTCTAGGCATCAGGCTGAGAGTTAATTTTATATAAAATACATCATTTCTCAGTTTCCCCCATTCCCTATCCTGCTTCTCTAATCTTGTACAGGTTTCTCCTAAAAGAACACTGTCCAAAAATCACATGTGCTGGCAACCCTGTCTTAGGATCTGCTGCTGGGTAAACCCACCTAAGACATTCTCGAATCAAAGGTAAGAAAGTAAATAATTGCAGTAAAAGTATTTCAAAGTTTTACTATTTTCATATATGAAAAAGTAACTTCAATCACTAAAAAGAAACTAAGGAGTAAATAAACAATTCTGGCTCTAGAGGCACCATGATCTATTTTGTATTGTTTCAGGAAGTGAACCTTACATCTCTGCTTTTTTTCTCTGCAGGCGCGCATTTCTTAAATCTTTAATGTATCTTGCATAACAATCTTCATGTGCTTTCATTTTTAATTTTTCAGAATTAGTATATGCAAAATCAGGATCCACATAGTTATATCTTGGAATATTTGTGAAAATCGTCCTACAATATGAGCAAGTCATGTTAACATTTACATGTATGCATTTATTTGATCAGTATTTATTGAGTGCCACCTATGCCAGGGATTGGGTATAGAATGGTGAACAGGGGAGATTCCAGTCCTTTCCCTCATGTCCTCTCATATACCAAGACATTATTACATAGAGAACTAGAGTGATATCTAGTTTCCTTCTTAACAGAATCAGAGAAAATGCCTAAGGTCATCGGGATGTAATGGTATCTATCCTAAATCCACTCTTCCTAAAAGTTAATTGCTTTTTGATCACTGTGCTCAAAATTAGAAAAAAAAATAATATAT